TGATGGGACACTGGGGGTGACAGGAGGGGGACTAGGGACAATGGGGGACACTGAGGGGACACTGGGGGTGACAGGAGAGGGGCTGGGGACATTGGGGGGACACTGAGGGGACATTGATGGGACACTGAGGGGACACTGGGGGTGACACTGGGGGTGACAGGAGGGGGACTGGGGACAACAGGGCACACTGAGGGGACACTGGGGGTGACAGGAAGGGGTCTGGGGACAATGGGGGACACTGAGGGGACACTGGGGGTGACAGGAGAGGGGCTGGGGACACAGAGGGGACATTGAAGGGGACTGGGGCGATCTGGGGACGGGGTGGGGACACTGAGGGGACACTGGAGGTGACAGGAGGGGATATGGTGACACCGAGGTGACACCGAGGCCCCGCGGGGCCCTCACGACGCCCCCAGCCCCAAACCCCGGCCTGGCGTGGGCTCCATCCCGACCGCCCCCCGCCCCTCAGCCCCTCCCGGTGTCCCCAGGGTCCCCCCGGTGTCCCCAAGGCCGCCCCGGCCTCACCAGCTCCGCGCCGCCATAGCCGCACCGCTTCCGGCCCGCGCCGGAATGAGAGTGACGTCACTGACGCCATCATGGGCGCCGCCATGTTGGCGGGTCCGCTAAGGGCTCGGCGCGCGGCGCCATCTTGAGTGTGGGCAAGGCGGCGCTGGCGGTGCTCCAGGCGCCGGTACCGGGGTTGTGGCGGGGCCGGAGCGGCCGGGGACGACCCGTGAGAGGAGGGCGTGTCCGGCTAGTGCGGGAGATGCGGTTTGGAGCGACGGGAAAGTGGCCGCTGCCGTCATGGAGGCTGCCCACAGGTACATGATGGACGCATCCATCATGGCCGCCACCACACCCATCATGGCGGCCACCACGCCCATCATGGCGGCCACCACACCCATCATGGCTGCCACACCCATCATGGCGGCCACCCCTGGACACCGAAGGAGCACACGGGGTCAGTGTGGGGTCAGTGCCTTTTATTGGGGACAAAAAGTGACCTTTGGGGACAAAAAGTGACCTTTGGGGACAGAAAGTGACCTTTGGGGACAGAAAGCGACCCCCGGGGCTGGACTGACCCCTGGGGCTGGACTGACCCCTGGGGCCGTGGCTCTGCCCGGCCGCTGCCCATCCTGGGAGCTCCAGGACACGGCGGGGCCTCCATGGTGCCAGGGACCATCCGTGTCCGTGTCCGTGTTCCCTGTCCCCTGTCCCGTGTCTGTGTCCCTCTGTCCCTCTGTCCCTCTGTCCATCTGGGTGTCCATCCCAGATGTCCCTCAGGTGGATCTGGGTGTCCCTGACCTGTCCCTGTCCCTCCCGTGTCCATCCCCGTGTCCATCCCGTGTCCACCCCTTTGTCCAGTTGTCCGTCCATGCTGTGTCCGTCTGTCCATGCCATGTCCGTCTGTCCATGGGTGCTGTGTCCATCCGTCCATTGCGTGTCCATCCGTCTGCGCTGTGTCCGTCTGTCTGTGAATGCCGTGTCCATCCGTCCATCGCATGTCCATCTGTCTGTGTCCATCTGTCCGTGGGTGCCGTGTCTGTCCGTCCATCGTGTGTCAATCCGTCCATCGTGTGTCCATCCGTCTGTCCGTGTCCATCTGTCCGTGGGTGCCGTGTCCATCCGTCTGTCGTGTCCATCTGTCCATGGGAGCTGTGTCCATCTGTCCGTGGCTGCCGTGTCCATCTGTCCATCGTGTGTCCATCCGTCCATCTGTGTCCATCTGTCCATGGAAGCTGTGTCCATCTGTCCGTGGGAGCTGTGTCCATCCATCCGTGGGTGCCGTGTCCGTCCGTCGGTGTCCGTCCGTCCCTCGCGTGTCCGTCCGTCCGTCCGTCGGCGTCCGTCCGTCGCGGCGCCGCTCAGGCCGTTGCGGGCGCGGCGCCGGGGCTCTCGGCGGCTCCGGCCGCCCAGTGCGGCCGCCGGACGGTGCCGGTGCGGCCGTCGCTGGCCTGCGGCCGCTGCTCCCGGGGGATGCGCACGGCGCGGAAGCGCGGCACGGCCGGCGGCGGCGCGCGGCGGAAAAACCCCGCCTGGGGGGAGAGGGGAGAGGGGCAGCGGGCCTGTCGCGACGTGGCAGCGCGGGATATCGCGACGTATCCCGGGATGTATCGCGACGTATCCCGGGATGTATCACGAGTTATCCCGGGATATATCGCGACATATCACAGGATATATCACGAGTTATCCCGGGATATATCACGAGTTATCCCGGGATATATCACGAGTTATCCCGGGATATATCGCGACGTATCCTGGGATATATCGCGAGGTATCACGGGATATATCGCGAGTTATCCCGGGATATATCCCGACGTATCCCGGGATGTGTCGCGGCGCCCTCACCTTGCGCAGCGCCAGCACCAGCAGCCCCAGCAGCGCCAGCCCCAGCAGCGCCGCCAGCGGCAGAACCCACCAGGGCACGGCGGGCACGGCCACGCCCGGCTCCGCGTGCACCGACAGCGACATCTGCGGGGGCACGGGGTCACGGGGTCACACGGGGTCACAGGGGTCACACGGGGTCACAGGGGGGTCACACAGGGGTCACACGGGGGTCACACGGGGGTCACGGGGTCACAGGGGTCATTGGGACATTGGGGACAGTGGGCACGGCCACGCCCGGCTCCGCGTGCACCGACAGCGACATCTGCGGGGTCACAGGGGTCACGGGGTCACACGGGGGTCACACGGGGTCACACGGGGGTCACACGGGGGTCACGGGGTCACAGGGGTCATTGGGACATTGGGGACAGCGGGCACGGCCACGCCCGGCTCCGCGTGCACCGACAGCGACATCTGCGGGGGCACGGGGGGGTTACGGGGTCACACGGGGTCACAGGGGGGTCACACGGGGTCACACAGGGGTCACGGGGTCACAGGGGTCACACGGGGTCATTGGGGTCATTGGGGTGTCCCCAGGTGTGTCCCCATCTGTCCCCAGGTGTATTTTAGGTGTCCCCAGGTGTCCCAGGTATCCCCAGGTGTATTTTAGGTGTCCCAGGTGTCCCCAGGTGTATTTTAGGTGTCCCCAGGTGTCCCAGGTGTATTTTAGGTGTCCCAGGTGTCCCCAGGTGTCTCAGGTGTATTTTAGGTGTCCCCAGGTGTATTTTAGGTGTCCCCAGGTGTCCCAGGTGTATTTTAGGTGTCCCAGGTGTATTTTAGGTGTCCCAGGTGTCCCAGGTGTCCCCAGGTGTCCCCAGGTGTATTTTAGGTGTCCCATCTGTCCCCAGGTGTCCCCAGGTGTCCTCAGGTGTATTTTAGGTGTCCCAGGTGTCCCCAGGTGTCCCCAGGTGTCTCAGGTGTATTTTAGGTGTCCCAGGTGTCCCCACCTGCGCCACCGGGTCCCTGACGAGGACGTTGCCGTGGGGTGAGGTGACCGAGACCTCGGCGCGCACGATCAGCTCCAGGTGCTGCACGCCCAGGAACTCCTGGGAATTCGGGATTCGGGAATTCGGGATTGGGGATTCGGGAATTTGGGATTGGGGATTCGGGAATTTGGGATTGGGGATTCGGGGTTTGGGATTCGGGATTCGGGATTCGGGGTTTGGGGTTTGGGGTTTGCGATTTGGGATCTGGGAATTCGGGAATTCGGGATTCGGGAATTTGGGATTGGGGATTCGGGGTTCGGGATTTGCGGTTTGGGATTCGGGGTTTGGGATTCAGGATTCGGGAATTTGGGATTGGGGATTCGGGGTTTGGGATTCGGGATTGGGGATTCGGGGTTTGGGATTCAGGATTCGGGAATTTGGGATTGGGGATTCGGGGTTTGGGATTCGGGATTCGGGGTTTGGGGTTTGCGATTTGGGATCTGGGAATTCGGGATTCGGGAATTCGGGATTCGGGAATTTGGGATTGGGGATTCGGGGTTCGGGATTTGGGGTTTGGGATTCGGGATTCGGGGTTTGGGGTTTGGGATCTGGGAATTCGGGATTCTGTATTTGGGAATTCGGGAATTCGGAATACGGGAACTCGGGAATTCGGGATTCGTGAATTGGGGATTCAGGAATTCAGGAATTCGGGATTGGGGATTTGGGGTTTGGGATTTTGGGATTCAGGATTTGGGAATTGGGGATTTGGGAATTGGGGATTCGGGAATTCAGGAATTTGGGATTGGGGTTTGGAAATCCGGGATTCGGGAATTTGGGGTTCAGGATTCAGGAATTCGGGATTCAGGAATTCGGGGTTCAGGATTCAGGAACTGGGGGTCCAGGATTCAGGAATTGGGGATCTGGGATATAGGAATTTGGGGTTCGGGATTCAGGAATTTGGGGATCTGGGATTCAGGAATTCAGGGTGCAGGAATTGGGGATCCGGGATTCAGGAATTTAGGGTTCAGGATTCAGGAATTCTGGGTTCGGGATTCAGGAATTGGGGTGCAGGAATTGGGGATCCGGGAATCAGGAATTGGGGATCCGGGATTCAGGAGTTCGGGATACGGGATTCAGGAATTGGGGTGCAGGAATTGGGGATCCGGGAATCAGGAATCGAGGGTCCGGGATTCAGGAATTGGGGTGCAGGAACTGGGGGTGCAGGAACCGGGGGTCCGGGATTCAGGAATTGGGGTGCAGGAATTGGGGGTGCAGGAACTGGGGGTGCAAGAACCGGGGTGCAGGAACC